TTTTATGCTTTAGTTCCACTTTAGACTAAATTTAGACAAATACTTTATTTTCTTTTGTGTTTAATTATTGGATTATTAACTAACCTAGTATGTCCGTCATGTGTGCTATGCGATCTTGCAAGAAAGTGTTACCCTTTAAATTATTAATCTTCTTTTGACTCTTCTAGTCTCTACTGTTAGTGGTCAACATACTTTTTCTGTCATGCAATTAGTGACTAAACTACGCAACAAATGAGTGATGCTTTTCTTGCCGATGATCTTATATTTATATTGAACAAGATGTAAACGACACTTTTCACATAGATTGTCTTTGAGTGATGTGATTAATCTCAAAGATGTCGTGTACGTTTAAAATAATAAATTATATTTGATAATTTCTTATAATATTATTTTGTTTGAAAACAAATCACCCCCCCCCCCCCCCCCACCACCCCGGGACTTGAATTCCTGGCTTCGCCCTAGCTCGTGACGTTGTGTTTAGCTAAACAACACTATTTCCTAGTAATGCGGGGTCATTGAGTCTACAATTTCATACGATGTTGTTTTCCACTAAAACAAAATTGTTTCTTGTTACGCGACACCATTGACCATGGTCCAAAATAATTATTATAATTAAAATTAATTAGATTTGCTTCCTTAAATGACGAGACGCATTAACGCGGTATTGAATTCATGCCAAAATAATTTTAGGTGTCTACAAACTATATGTTGATGGACTCCCAAGCTTATACTCACTGGCAAATCTGGGCTACCAAGCTTACGCTTTTCATTGTTTCGCAGGTCAGTCGAGTACAAACTAACCCCAGTCGAGTCACCCTATTCGCACCAGATTCTTCTAAATTATGGCACTAAACATTTGGCCTGGTTCTTTCAAAAGTTCTTGCCCCAAACATAGACATTGTTAATTTGAGCGATTAATTTCTTCATCGGTGTTTTACGCCGCATTTGGCTTTATAGTTGCTTTCGATAGTGATCTGCTTCCTAAACACTTGTAAATTGCTGAAGGATGGATGTGACGATCTAGCCCAAGCTTAGTGTTGCATAGTGAAAATTTATTGGTCAGTGTTTTGAGCAGTGTTATTAAAGTCGAGCCGCTCGGCCCGACCTGTAAAACCACTACCCGGTTATAAAACCGACTCGGAACAGTCTAAAAATCGCTCCGGTTTTATGTCGCGTTTGACGAGCGGCCGTGGCGGTTTACTGCTCGAGCCGCTCGTCCGGTTTTTGCCATTCAGCCGTTAAATTTAATTAAAAAAATTGCAGAAAATTGAAAATTGAAATAAACCAAAAACGTCGGGCTCTTAAACTGAATTTTTATTTCCATTTCACAATTTGAAGGAAAGAGACGAGCTCTGATTAAGAAATGTCCACTATTTATATTGATAACATTTATTAGGTACCGGTTCTCTAACGGTTTTTAAACGGTCTAATATCGATTGAACCACTACAGTGCGAGCCGTTAGCATTACTGGGTCATGCTCCGGTTCGGTTCTGGTTTTGAGTGCATTGTTCACAACTCACAACACAATCTGACGGGCCATGGAGATACAACACGAGAAGAAATGGGCCCCGCGCATAGCCTTTGGCATCGGACATACGGGGAGGGCAAGGTTAGTGACGCAGAGCTGCTTGCTTTGGCTCTCATAGTGCAATCGATGGCCTCGGTCCATTTTCTGGGCCCATTCCCAAAGGCCCAAAAGCGAGCCGACGGAAAATAAATAAACGACGACCAGGCTAGGGGTAGACAAGACAAGTCACTTTCGTTTTCGGGTTAGGGTTAGGGATGGGGTTGGGACTTGGGAGAAGGATTTATCTACTATACTTATAATACACCGAAGGGGAAAACAGCTTCCCCATTTCAAATTTCCTGCAACGAGAGTGAAAGTAGGAAGGACATTTTGGTCTTCACAATAACTTTTTTTTATTCATTAAAAAGACATGTACTAGGATTCGAACCATGACCATTTTATAGAAAAGCAAGGATCATAACCAATCACACTAAGTAGATTTGTTGTATCTTTTTAAATTAAAAACATATAATAGCAGGGAGGAAAAAAATCTTCCCCCATTTCAAATTCCCTGCTCCAGGAGCGTTTGTAGGAAGGGTAGAATAGGGAGTGTCAATTTTTTTCTCTTTTCTCTGTGGAACGGGCCAACTTACCGTACACATGCGGATTTAAACGGGTCCAAGAGTGTCAATTTTTTTCTTTAATCCCTTTTATTTCTCCGTGGTGATAAAATATATATGAAAAGGAAAAAATAATACTCCTTTTATTGTTAAAAATAAAAAATTTAACAATAAACTAATGAATGGTATCTAATGGCTAACCGCTAACCATAAAATAAAAGAGTTGAATGGGTCTGACCTACACGGGATTTGGCCATCAAGTAAAACAAATGAACATAATTGGTTTGTCATTCTAAAACAAGCTATTTTCTCTGGCATAATATATATTATGCTATTATTTTATATCTTAGTGGCTAAAATATAATGTATTTTAAAGTTATTCAATGGTTCAACCTCGACCAACCCAATTAGTCCAATTTTTATCATTTCAAATATATATTATATAATTATTTGATATCATAATGATCAAATTATAGTGTATTTTATAGGGAATCGTTTGATATTTGTTAGTAAAAAACTAAACTGAAAGATCTATTTGGTTATTTTAAACATTAAAACGATCCTAAACATTTTCAGTTCCTTTTGAATTTCTATGGTTTTATTCCCGAATAAGTAATGTGCAAATGGCGAATTGCAGTCATCTCTTTTCTTTCACTATTTTTTATTTTCAAATAGAAAGTTTAAAATTAAAGAATAATTAGGATTTTTGCCCGTTTGTTTTATGCATTGCAAATTTATTAGCATGTTGATGGAAATGGCTTGGAAAAAAGACATATAAGTTGTACCTTTGCAGAAATGTCCTCAAATGTTTGAATGCTTTGCGAATCAGGTTCCATGACTTTTGTGATGGTGTATGTGCTTGACGATTGCTCGATGTTGTAACTACTTAATTTGAGAGTAAATCTTTTTATTTTCCCTATGAGGTGTGATACCAGTTCTGGTGGTTGCAGCAGGTTGTCGTTGTTGGCCTGTAAAAGTTTTTCCGTCGTGATGCTAAATACCTTTCTTTCCTTTTTAACAAATTGTGTAGTAGTGCTATGAAACAGACCACCCATGAACGCTACGCTTATTATGGTCTATTCTTACTTCCGGTGGTGAGAAATTGTGAATTGAGAATCATATTCGCCTACCGCACTGTGTCTGGCTGGTGGCTGCTTACTGTGCTCTCTAGAGTTATGAAATAGACTACCCATGAACGTTTACTTAAGAGTCCATAACTTTGCGAAAAACCAAATTTAGGCAATCAAAGGTGGTGGATGTGTGATGATTTTTTATGGCTTAATTGTTTGTGAATTGGATATCTGATCTTTGTATGATTAGAGGGGATGTTTTCTTAATAGAATAATCCATTTTAATTCATGTTTATTTTTAACATGAACTTTAGTAACTCAAAACCTTCGAGACACATATCACCTATTGCATTGTATCATTTTGCCTGGGTGCTTGTTGTGTTGTCAAACTTCTTTGTTGCTGCTACATTTACACTAACAAGGGAGTTAAGAACCCATGAATGTTTTCGTTTGACACAAACATGAGGACTTGCTTCTAAATCGTGCACTAAAGATGATTGGAGGAAACATCTCTGATGCAGTTGATATACTGGAGACCAGAACAAAAGCAACGTATAACATCAAAACCAACCATCTGAACTATTAGCATTGTTGCTTTACTCTTTTTTTTGTGGTTGAGTCTCCTTAAAAAAATTTAGTTTGATTTTAGAAAATTTTGCTTCTGCAGTCCTATCTTGCCACCAACGTGTTCAGTAGATGGAGATGGCGGAGGCGAAGGCTATTTTTGTGTTGTTGTTTCTGGTTTAGGGATCGGTTTGTGAAGAAGAGGGAGAAGAGAGGGGGGAAAGGGAAATGCAGGAGAGGGGGATAACTCTTTTCTCCGACAAAAATGGAGTGAAGAAAGGAATTATGATCAATAAGGATATGGTTATCTTACATAACAGTATCTATTCCGTTTGAATTGAGCTTGGGAGGCAGTGATAAGGACGAGCTGCAACCAATTCATAGTGAGAAGAGAGCTATGAACTATAATCATGTCTTATTTCAAGTTAGAAGGTAGTTTCAGTATAAGGATTATTTAAATTGACAAGTTGTTTCGTCCATGATTCTTGGTAGTTTCAGTGCCATTCTAGCCATTGTTTAGTCTGTAATTTTTTAGAATTGATGTGCGAGTAATGACTTTCACTTAGCTTCAACTATTATGTGTGTATTTATTGGCATGTGATATAATTCTCTTTTCCTTTTCTTTGAATTAAGTTTCATACTCTAATTGTATCATTTGTACATAGGCAAATCATGCTCGAGATGACAACTCGCTGATATGGCTGGTGCAAGAAATGAAGCCATCAGTAGAATTCAGACCGACAACGGGGAGGGATGCCCAGGACTAATTCAATGATGATTGATGATGGTATAATAAAAACTGCAGTCTGATCAGCACCAATTTCTAGGCCTAAGTAAAGTTATTCAACCAAGAACTCTGTTTAGCGCTAAAAATTGCCCTCACCCAACTTTGATCCTGTTTGACCCACTTCTAAAGAGTCAAGATATATGACTAATCCTCTTCGTTCGTATTTTCTTATTGACTCTTTCTGACTCTTTAAGTTGGGGCGGGTCGGGAAGAATCGGATTAGTGGGTCGATCCTAATTAAGTGGAATCACAATCCCTTCACTCTCACTTGCTTTCTCTCCCATTCCACAAGTGAGAAACATACAGTAATCCGGCCAACGGCCCGGGTAATAAGCTAGTAATTATATATATATGCTCATTCCTTCATAGATCTCATCTGAGCGAGCGAGCGAGTTTCGGCGGAGGAGGGGAATATTTTGTTGTTGTTGTTATATCCGGTCGGTCGGTGAGCATGGCTCATATGTTGTTGTTGGGGTCGCTACAGGTCATTTTGGGGTGCAAGCAGTCTGTCTCTCAACTTCGCGCGAGGAGTCCTAGCGCGGGCGGGTGGGGATCCAGCTACAAACATTGGATTAATCTCCCTTGGAACTGCTTCCCCTTGTATCCCGGCGTCGCAGGTTTCGCCGGCGAGCCTCTAGGTTGGTTGATTTGTTTGTTTTAGTTAATAATAATAATCTCCTTCTCCCTTATATGATGTTTGTAGATAGTAGGATAGGCGAAGAATGATTTGTGCTTGTCGATCGAATGGGCCTTCTTTCTTTTGCTGCTGCTTTCACGAAATTACATATATATATTATTATCATTACGGATTGCATATATAGATTCTCCAAGCCAGCATTATCTTGTTGCAAATGCTGCTGCTGTCGGTCGGCTTTTGGAGAATGGAGACAGAGCCTACCGTGCTGGAGGCGTCAATCCACACTTCTACTATACCAACCACTCATCCGCCGAAGAATTCGAGGTGCTAATTTCTTTCTTTCTTTCTATCTCTCTATATGCCATATAGATTTCAACATCTTGCTAAATATCCCATGCTTAATTTTACCATTGTTAATTCTTCACTTCTCGATCTGTTTGCCTTTTCTCATCAGCCAGCTTACTCGTAATTTTTTTTTTTTTTACCTTTTCCCCCTCTAGGCTTCTGATTTCGCAGAATTTGAGGATACTGCTGGTTTTGCTGTCATGTGGGTCAACCATTGCTTAACCTTTTGCCCTCTTGAGGATTTCGGAGGTATGAAATTGAACACACTTTGTGCTCTGTTAAATTCCAATCTTCAACATCGATCCTTTTCACCTTAATTTACTCGATGGGCTTGTATGTAGCTAACTATATCCAATTATTCTTCTTTCAGCTACTATTCTCCCTGAACCTGTGCTTCCCGTCAACAAATCGGACTTGCAGATTCCTTTTGCTGCTTGGCAAAAGCTATATCAGTCGGTATAAATCTGACTAGCTAGTATTGTTCTTGTAGTAGATTGATTGCCCCAGCCAATTCTGTTGCTCAATACTGCGACTAGCTTGATCGATCGAGAGTTTCGATTATGTTCTGCACTTCTTTATTACTTCATTGTGTGTTTGTGCATGCAGTGTCTCAAGAAAGAAGAGGAGGGAGTAGCTGCAAAGTGCGAGTACTTCAGGTGTAAAGTACACGACGGCATAGTTGGCGTGAACAAGGAATAAGATGATGCATGGTTCCTTAAGCTGTAGAACGAACAAGCACTGTTCAAATGTGTTGTGGATACTACTTAAATTAGACGATGTGGAGTAGACCTTATGAAATGATTTTCACTCTCATTCTTACTTAGAGAGAGGAGTAACAAGCAGAAAGGCGAGGATAGATAGATAGAGACCTTAGCTAGCTTGTTCGTTGGGATGCAAATTGAATTTCAGGTATTGTGCTATATATACTTGATCATTTGTTGCAAGCCAAGCTATAAGTTATTTTTCTCATTCTGTAATTAGTCATCTCGTATAGTTTCTTCATCTTCAAGATAATTGAAGAAGGGCTAAATTAGCTCTCCAGATTTTATCTTGTCAAAGATTTGCAAATGGGTGATTGACTGAGTCGCTAGCTGTAACTACAACTTCTTAGTCGAAGGTCTAGTTTAATCGACGGCTGCGTGCAGAATATGGTAACTAAGCGAGTAATAAAATTATCGACCAAGTGTTATTACGCTTACTAGTCGGCCAACAACTAGCTTACCTTCTGGTTGTCAACAAATGTATGGTAATTTGCATACTTGCATTCCTCTTGATGATGGTTCCTGCAGCTTTCCCCATTGTCACAACTCACACTTCTATTACTACCTTCATGTGTCACATAATAAATGCTCCATCTACAACCCACACCACGATGACCAGAAATTGAAAGCTACACACTGTTCCAGATCAAAACTATCATGATCTAGTTGCAAAGCATGGCCCGTTACACTTCCCTTCATAACCACATTGATGAATATTTGACAATTCTAGTAGTGTTTTCCCCGTATTATAAATACACACAAGCACCTCTTCCTAGCTAGGGTACCACTTCCATCAAACAGGCAGGCTTAAAAGAGAACAAACCAAATCCCTCCCACTCGAAAATAATAATGTCGTCCATCCAAAATCCCCAGTTAGCTACATCCCTCCTCTGTGTGTACATATTTTTGGATATTATTATTGTTTAATTATCTTAGTAGGATTTGGATTGTTTTCTATTATGTTTAGGATTTGGTTATCGTTTTCTTGTGGGAGTAGTATTCATATTTTGGGTAGGGGAGAGGAGGTGTTCTATGCCTATAAATATGTACCCACTCTTTCCTTTAATAATATGAGAATATTGGAACTCAACTCTTGAGTTTTGCTTCGTTCTAGCCCTATTCTCTTCGTCCTAAGTCTATTTCTTTAGTTTATCATTCGATTCTTGTGAGACACGTTGCGTGGGAGGTTCTATCTAAAAAATCCACGTAACAATTGATATCATAGTCTGGTTCTGCACAGCAACGGAATCCAAGTTAATTAACTAGTTTCATCATCACACGTCGTCCGGCTCTATGCATCTCGTCATTTCGGCCTTCGAGCCACCATGAAATAAACCCTACAACTTCAGGGAACGAAGATATGATGAGATTCATCACAATCAACATCCAGGATATTCTATCCACCAGCAGCCGCATCCCTACTACTCGCCGTATCTGCCGCATCCATACAATTACTACAACCCTTAAAATCGCCATGACTTGATGGAAAATCGGGGCTTCGTCGCTATGATAGATGTCTAATCTACTTCTACGATAAACTATAGAGAAAACTAATAACTTTAGGGTTTATTCTTCGCATAATACGACATAATGGCATAACCGACTCATGGCAATTAAGTAAATAATAATAATATGCTAAGTTACGTGTATCATACACGCATCAATATCCTCCCCTTCAAGCATAACCTTGTCCCCAAGGTTACTCTGACATCAACCGAAAAATCACCGACCATCAAAAATAAATCTTGGCCTGCATAACGATGATCGATCGTGAATCGCTCATCACAGTTGAAGCACAGGTCGTCCCTCCGCCGCCTTGCGATCTCTGCTGGGGTACGCTTGATAGTTTCGAACGGAACATTGGGTGGTGCCCCTGCTGGCGTTGCCACGTTCCCGGTTGTCGGTGCGTCCAATCCAAGTCGCATATCTTCTAGTTCCACCTCCCTGCCCCTTGCCAACCTAAACACCTCTCCCAATGATTGAGGTTGGAACTGACGAACCCCACTAGCGATTGTTGGCTTCAAACCCTCTAAATAAGCATTGATCAAGGTACTAACAGGCCACCCCTGCAACGATATGCCAGCTTCTCGAACTCAAGCCTATGCTCATCAACTGATCCTGTCTGCCTAAGCTGCATAAGGTTCTCTTCGCTCGTGCCCCTGATAGTCGGTTCGAATCTAGACCACAAATCTTCCTTGAAACGCTACCACACGTCACCGCTTCCCCAGAAGCAGCAATTGTATACTCCAACCACTGCCAACACTGCCCCGTGTCACCTTCTAAGTAGAATGCAGCCTATGAAACTGTTTGATCCTCCGGTATCCCTTGATACTTAAAGAATCTTTCAGCTCAAGAGATCCAAACTGTTGCATTCTCCTGACCTTGAAAACTTCTTGAAACCCAACCAAAGGTCTATCCCCACCCGGTATAACCTGCTGTCCAAAATGAAGTGGTTCTGTCAGAGTTTGATCCAACCGATTTGCTTACCAGACCGGACCAACACCTTTCAAACTAGGCCAGTCCGACCCAATCTGTGATTATAAAAAATGCATTTAATATTATTTGTTTATTTTTCCTCCAATCTTCCTTTTCTGCGCTGCTAGCTTCGGCCATGGAAGAGAGAGAAACGCAGCGGCGGGGAGAAAAAGACAGCGATGGTGGAAGCGAGGGGGGCGACGACGACAATGGAGAGAGATGGAGATCTCGACGACGACGGCGGTGACGACGGAGAGAGGGAAAGGAGATCGCGATAGAGGCGGCAGCGGAGAGAGAGAAAGTAGATATGTCATCGTCGGGAAAACAAAGGAGAGAGAGAGACGATGGTGGAGGAGAGAGAGGCGGTGCGGCGATGGAGAGAGAGAGGTGGCGACGACAATAGAGAGAGTCGGCTTCGGCCGCGACGACGGATCTCTCGACATCGTAGTCGTCCGAGGGAAGAACAATGATTTATAATGCAAGTGTTGTCAGTTTGTATTGTTAGTATTTTTGTACATAATGTCAGTATGATTTGTATAGTTTGTATGTTTTGTAATATTAATTTGTATACTTTATATGTATTGATTTGTGATGCAAGTCATGTCGGTTTGTATTGTAAGTACTAATACTTTGTACTCTTAGTATGTTTTTGGTACTTTGTATAATATCAACTATTACAACCTAGATGAACAAACATTACAAACTAGACAAACAAACATTACAAAGTCAACCAGGTTATTTTTTAGGCATAAAAAACATTACAAACATAGTTGACAAAAATGATAAACATGGTGGACAATAGTAACAAAGTTTACAAACATTACAAAAGAACTCGACAAACATTACAAAATAACAAAACTTACAAACATTACAAAAGAAACCGACAAATAGTACAAAGCATACTCTCTCTTCTCTCTCTCTCTCACTTTGGAGGGGAAACATTTGGGCCAAAAAATGCTACCAGAGCCTGCGGGAGAATTTCCCTGGATCGGCGTGCGGGCGGGAGGGAGGGCGGATGATTATTTTTTATTTTAATTTTTAAATAAATAAATTATGTAATACCACATTATCCTTCATTAAAGTAGATTAATTTGAACCATAAGATTTTAATGAAGCTCAATGGTTGAGATTGACTTAGTGATGTGACTAAGAGACCCCGCTTAATCACTTGATCTTAGCCCTACTCGCTAGCCCTTCTTTATACAATATTTGACGATTTACAAATTCCTTTTTCTTCTTTTTTTTTTTAAATCTTTTTAGTTACTTTTGTAATTAATAATTAATATATCCTTTCCCATGTGGCCACTTCTGTTGTTCGTGATTTTCTTGATTTATCTTCTTCCTCCACCGCTGCTTTTGTTTTCTATCAAGTCCCTTCTGGAAGCTCCCTCCCCACTGCATTCACACTTTAAAGAAACATCAAAGAATCACAATTAATTGAGCTCAAAATTGCAGTGACGCCTTCCTCGCATTCTAGATCTTATTCTCTGAGATCTTTGTACTCGACTCTACCTTCTCTGAGCTCTTTGCTTTTCCCTGATTCCGATGGAAAACCTACGCTTCTCAAAACCTACGTTTCTTGAGAACCTCATTCGAAAGAGGAGATCTAGTTTAGAACGTCTTGATCGGTTGTTCAAGAAAAGGATACGTCCCTCTAGGCAATCGACTTAAGAGGGCCTGGATTTCCTTAGTCAAGATTCAAGATCTAGTCAAGGATTCTTCGCATTATCAATGAAACTGAAACATGTTAGAGATCATCAACTATTAATCTGGCTAGTGGCTAGGGGGAATCATACCTAAGTGAGTTCCCAACCTATAATTAGTAGTCTAACCTAGAGTAGCTTGTAGGTGTAGTTTAGTTAATCAAACCTTAATCTAATTTGCTAAATAACAAGTCGAAGCTGAGTAATAGTAAATTTAGAGACCTCATGGATTCGATATTTATCACTTGCACAACTATACTGCAAACCCTTTCAGATCAATAATCCTGCATAGTGCAACCACCAGGCGCCACATCAGCACCCCCTGTCACTTATGGAATGCCTCTAACCCTTTTTTCCCTTAAGTTTTAACTGAAGATTTCTCTCTCGTTTTAAGTTGAAATTTTTTCCCACAGATACATCAGATTAATTGTGCTCTCCAAAATGATATCCACTTCAATATATTTTTGGAACAAAGAAATTGAGACATTTATTACCGGTCTATACCATATGGTATGAAAGCATATCATGGTGGTATGAACATACGAGACTATTAGATGGTTGAATACATAATAGTAGGGAATATACTAACTATCATTTACGACTTTCAACATTGTGCACCACTAGATACCACCCTTATACCAGGGTGGTATGGGGTGGTGTGTTTTAGTCCTGCATTTTTTCCTCATAAAATTATAGATCCAATAGATCATGATGAACTCGTTTCTTCTGTGCAAATATTTTAAAAAATGTTTTAAAAGCA